ATCCTCGTAGAGTGACGTTTGAAAGAAAAATATTTACTAAAAAAAAACAACAACAAAAAAAAAAACTGACACGACACCCACCGATGTGTGAAGGCGGGACACTCAAAAGAAGACCAAAGACACACAAGGCATATGTATAGACTCAACCCTCACAAAAATAAAAAAAAACTTTTACATCATGGCTACCAATTTTAGATGGTCGTTGTCAAATATTTTTTCACAGACATTTTCCGAATGAACTCCACTTATTTACATTTAAACGCGTCATCGAAAAATACATGAAAGTTGCCATGTTTCTTTTCCACATCGATCATGAGACTCGAAGAGATTTATTACTATAATCGTATTGTAGACTGCTCACATAAAATATCTTGATCCGTAATCGTCTTTGTCATTTCAAGTGGCGCCAATATGTCTGCTGACTTGTCATCTGAACATTTCTGTCCGCGGGCCGCTTTCCTATACCTCCATTGTATGTTTTGAGGCAATTTATCGGTAGATGCCTACCACGCATCTCATCTTAGAACTTCACAGAAGTTATAATATACATTGTAGTTATTTCTACTAAGCGCTTTTGGCTTTCATAATATAGATATATGTGTAACAATTCAGATAGAGTATATCTGTAAAAAGAACAATATGAATAAAAACAAAAGAAAAACTTAGCCGACATGTTTCGTTCTCTGAGGGACTTTATCAAGGCAAATGCAGGGATTTTATTTTGGATAAATATTAGGTGGGTGCAAAAATAATAACGTAATAATGTCGTTTTTGACGTATTTTTTAACGTCAAAAAACGACATTATTACGTCATTATTTTTGCACCAACCTAATACTTGTTACAATGGCTCACCACAATTTGCTCTCCTTTCTAGGATTTGTCTTTTTACTATTACCCCAAAATCTTCTTCCGCCATTCATTTACTCAGCCTAATTATATGTTATGCTTTCTTTTCCTGTGTTAGTCTCGCCTTTAAACTATCCTTTGAGTGTTAGATTTTCCAAGCCATCTTCTTTCATTAAGCTCCCTAAAATTTCTTCCTGATGTTAAATATAAGTTTCCTTTTTGTTTCTATTTTCTCTAAAAGTTCGTCGAGGTGATTGTTCAGCACACACTGCCATAAAGGAGCACAGATGTCATGTAAATGTTTAGTACTCGTTTCTTTCTTTGTAGTGAAGTTTTTTCTGTTTCATAATACTCTAGATTTTAGAAGACATCTTTGGCTATCCCAATACGCCTTCGGATTTCGGTGTCGCTCTTTCTCTCTGTTATAACAGTTCCCAAATATCTAAATTTTTGTACTTGTTTGATTTTTATATCTCCAATTTGCCATTCGCTTTTTGGTCTCATCCTCACAACCATACAATCTGTCTTTCTGCAAATAATGTTTAGTCTTTTCTTCTAGCGACCCTTTACTAACCGCTGTAGGACATTGACCTTAGAGATCGCGGCATCTATCAGAGAGATGAGATTTAAATTTTTATTATTGCATTATTCCAGATATTTAAATTTTCATATTTGTTTGATTTTGATATCTCCGATTTGTAATTTTCATTTTGTGCTCCCCGTTTTACAAACAACCATACATTCTGTCTTCTTACAGCTGACACTTTATCCTTTCCTTCACTACCTTGTGGGATTTATAGTTCTCGATTACGGTCGATCAGATAGTAGTTAGTTAGACCGGTATCAAGATACATAGCCTCGGCGACTTCATTCCACTTTGTATCCTTTCTGATTGTATTGACATTTTTAACGTGGTTATGACCCAACAACATTAGTTCGACGCGGCCATGGGTCTGTAAGCAGAAGGAATGGCTGCTGGGACTTAATGTAATCGGAGTATGGTTTTATTTTATTTTTATATCCTCTGCTGATTTCTTGGCAGTTTTTATTGCTTGTATCTTTTTAGACGTTAGGCACACAATTATACATTTGTCCTCAAATCGGTTCAAAGAGCGAGAATTGAAAACAGTTATCCGATTTTTATTATTTGCTTGCTGTTGTTTTTTTGTTTTGTTTTTTATTTTTTATTTTTATTTTTTGTTTTACGGTGATTTATTTCATTATGCTTACTTTTCTTTCCTCTGTTTGTTGTGTTTTTTCCTTATATACAATATTAATATGTCAGCTTTCATAGCATTAATAATTTTCGTACCTTACTCAAATTTATATATAATACCCTACACACACACACACACACACACACACACACATATATATATATATATATATATATATATATATATATATATATATATAATGTATATTCGGTCAAAAATCTTTCTTTCAAACATCTTTCATTAAATAAGACAAGGTAGATTTAAATAATTTTAATATATATATATATATATATATATATATATATATATATATATATACATATATATAAGATTAATGGTCATATTAATTAGTATATTTTGGGAGGTTTATACATTATTTTAATAGAAACAATTATTTGAGTAAATACTCTTTTTGTAATAAACAGTATTAGTTACATTTACTGGCCTGAATGTCCGAGCTATTTCGTATAAAATATGTATCCACTGTTAAATGTAAATTATAATGTTTATTCAAAACAGAGCATTTACTTAAATAATTCTATCTATACAAATAACGTTTGAACAAAGAATATATTAAAATAATTGTTGTACTTAGTCGATTTCATAACTTATATATATATATATATATATATATATATATATATATATATATATAAAAAGAAGAGCGGGGAAAACTGCCTTAGCCGACGCGTTTCATCCTTTGAGAACAAAATCAGAATACAAAACACATCGACTAAATATAGTTTTTCCTCTTGTTTCTTTTTTATTCATTTTTTCTCTTCTCCAGATGCAGCCCATCTGAAAATATTTGCAAATATAAAACAAATCAAAAATGATTTCAAAATATTAGACAGGCACGATGGAACAATTTGTAACGTGGAGGACTTCAAGCTTGTATGAAGATATAAGAACCTATTGATCTCTGCGTATTCCTATATCAACGGAAGGGATTTCTTGAACTGTTTATATGAGAAAATAGTTCGATCGAGCCTGTTTAATATTTTAATATTTTGAAATCATCTTCGAATACGCTTTCACAACATCGCCCACGTGACGACGACGTGATCATATTTAAACGGAACGCTGATCTTATATGAAAATTCCAGTTATCTGTTTGGATTAGTTGTTCTCTTATGTCCATCGTCTTTTCATGTTGAATTTTATATGTTCTAATGTTAATCATGTTTTATGAATATGTCCTGATGATGTTCTAAAATAGACCGAAACGTCCGACGTTGACATTATATTAACATTAATACAGCATAATTGCATATTAAGATTTTTGTTTGTTTTTTCTGTATATTTTTCTTCATACTGTCGGATCTATATCCATATATTTGCTTACATATATATATATATATATATATATATATATATATATATATATATATATATATATATATATATATATATATATATATATATATATATATATATATATATATATATATAATTATATAATATGTTATCCCAACTCATTTAATAATGTATATTATTTTTTATTTAATATATATAATTATATTATTTATCAGGATTATTTTAGAGATCGGTGTCGAATTTCATATAGCTCAGGGCCTCGCCAGGAAAAAGTCTAACCTGGTTAAATATATCTAATGCAGGCAAATTATTTCTGTATAAAATTTGATTTTTTTTTAAGGGTGTAGATTTATTGCACCCAGGGAATAGGTCTGATAAAAGTCTTGCTCAAGTTTTTAATACAAGCCGAATGCAATACCATTTCAATATTCTAAATATGTCGCGAAAGCTACGTATTTTTCTTTTATAAATACATACCGAAAGCCAAGATTCAGTTTCAGATATATAGCTGAAGGCAAGCCTAAAAATTGTTTAACTGAACTTCAGTCAAATGACGCGTCAGCATAGCAAATAATTTTTTTTATCAATAAATAAAAGAATATGTAAGTAAAATTGAGAGCGACATCTTGGAAATATTTCATCATCGCAGCATTTTACTGCTTTCCTATTTCAAATATGTATGTTTATTTATTTATTTATTTTGTTGTTTCTTTTTCTCACTGAATTCAAACATCATCGCTTATATGTCTCTTCCGTATTTCCAAGGAAACAGAACGGAATAGTCCACTATTTGTGTGGTATTGGCGGGATGTTTTTTTCTTTCATTTTTTTTTTAACCGAAACTAAGTAGCATCTCTGATATGTTTTTTTTTCCAGATTTCCACGAGATCAAAACAGAATAGTTCATGATTTACGCACTTTTTGGCAAGGCGTTTATTTATTACTTTTGACCACCGAAACCAAGTGGCGCCTCTGGTATATTCTTTTCTTTCTTCCAAGCGTTCTAAACATATCCTCATCACTTTGTGAATATTTCTCCTATTTTAGTTATGGTTCACATTTGTTTTATTACCCCGATCGAACTCCGAAGAGAGAAGAACGAAAACCGGTCAGCGGTTTTTTTTTCTCGAATTGACGTACATAGTAATTATATTCTTTCATCTCCTTTTTTCTACTTAACTACATGAAAATTTTATTTTAATGATAATAATAACCTTTTGTATCACAAGGAAAACTTTTCTCATTTTGTACATATATGGTCTTGTGTTAAATTCATCACAATCATACTTAGCACTCAGTGAGGTATGGTCTAAGTAGCATTGTCTTAAGTAACCAATTCTCTAACCACTTGGCTACATTTGATACATGCATAATAGCAGTATATTCAAAACTGGATTTAGAAGAAAAGCTCCTCCCTTAGCATGCAAGTGCGCAGTTGCAATGAAATGCTCCTCCTTTAGTATGCCAGTGTGCAGTTGCATTGAAACTTAAATTTGATTTCGACTGAGGTGGTAGACACCAAAAAGAGATTCGATTACAAGAAGAAAAACACTTACTATATACAATAGTAAACAAATTGTTCCGCTGATGAAATTAGACATTTGAACCAAAGAATTTACTTGAAATAAGTTGATATTTGAAGAAAGGTCGAAAAATGAAGCCGTTCTACATGTATGTAGGAGATGTTCAATGAATAATTAGAGAAAGTCTTAGATAGATAGATAGATAGATAGATAGATAGATAGATAGATAGATAGATATGGATATGAAAAGATACATAGATAGATAGGTAGATAGATGGCATGAACAGGCTAAAATAGATAGATAAACAATAGCAGACTACAATAGATGTATTGAGAGATATAAAGAAAGAAATGAACAGACTAAGAAAGATGAATATGAACAAACTAAAGCAGATAAATAGACAGACCGATAGATATACAATTGATACATTCCCGGCCCGAACAAGGTAAATGTTCTGCAGCCAATTGACATACATGCTACTCCATGTTTTTGCTATACAGTTTAATACTCTTGTTATATAATTTCCTAAGTTTCTTTAAGCCACCAAAAAAAAAAAAAAAAAAAATTCTGAACTTGGCTTATTGGAATCTTTGATTGATCGTTATGAATCATCCAGGTCCTCATAATTTTAACTTCCTTCTTTCTCCTACAACATTCATATATTTTTTTAAAAAATCACCCCAAGCAAGGCGATAAGGCCACTAAGGCGTAATGAGTTACTCGGAGTGAGAGAATAAGAAGACCTTTGAAGGAAGCGGTAACCCAATCCTAAACAGGAAACGAGGGCTAAAATTCTTGTCCTAATCAAAAGGCTGAGAAGGAGTGTGAACCGGACGATAGGCAAATCTCCTTCAGCAACTTTCTAATTTGAGTGGTTCTTGACTCCCGGCTTGTTTTAGTTGAGTATTAGCGAAAAAAACTAGAAAATAAAAAAGAAACTGTAACTTGGTTGGACCGGGAATTTTTCAGAGACAATCTCCAATATATATATATATATATATATATCTAAAAAAAAACATGTAGAAAAAACATATTTTAAATCAATTAATTTATAATATATATATATATATATATATATATATATATATATATATAGATAGATAGATAGATAGATAGATATAATTATTTATTTAAAAATTATAACATAAATATGTTATAAAATCACGATTTGTGATTTTATAACATATTTATGCTATAATTTTAAAATAATTATATTCGGTCTACTCTGTATTAAGCACTCTTTTGAAGAATAGTAATTGTTGGTTATTGGAAGTTATTCCTTATACACCAATCCTATACTTGGATATCTATCTCTCACTCTCTCTCTCTCTCTCTATATATATATATATATATATATATATATATATATAACGAATTTTTCCATTTTACATAGTGCTCGCTCGGTTCACTATATTCAAGTTCTTGAGGCTATTTATATTAAGTTTCATCAGCTGAGCCTATGTAAACAACAAATGGAACACTTTTTGGCTTGGCGTTTATTTCTTACTTTTATCCATCGAAACTAAGTGGCGCCTCTGGTATATTCTTTTCTTTCTTCCAAGCGTTCTAAACATATCCTCATCACATTGTGAATATTTCTCCTATTTTAATTATGGTTCACATTTGTTTTATTACCCCGATCAAACTCCGAAAAGAGAAGAACGAAAACCGGTCAGCGGTTTTTTTTTCTCGAATTGACGTACATAGTAATTATATTCTTTCATCTCCTTTTTTCTACTTAACTACATGAAAATTTTATTTTAATGATAATAATAACCTTTTGTATCACAAGGAAAACTTTTCTCATTTTGTACATATGTGTTAAATTCATCACAATCATACTTAGCACTCAGTGAGGTATGGTCTAAGTAGCATTGTCTTAAGTAACCAATTCTCTAACCACTTGGCTACATTTGATACATGCATAATAGCAGTATATTCAAAACTGGATTTAGAAGAAAAGCTCCTCCCTTAGCATGCAAGTGCGCAGTTGCAATGAAATGCTCCTCCTTTAGTATGCCAGTGCGCAGTTGCATTGAAACTTGAATTTGATTTCGACTGAGGTGGTAGACACCAAAAAGAGATTCGATTACAAGAAAAAAAAAAAAAACACTTACTATATACAATGGTAAGCAAATTGTTTGGCAGATTAAATTAGACATTTGTACCAAAGATTATATTTGAAATAAGTTGAAATTTGAAGAAAGGTCGAAAAATGAAGCCGTTCTTCATGTATGTAGGAGATGTTCAATGAATAATTAGAGAAAGTCTTAGATAGATAGATAGATAGATAGATAACTGCTAAGGGATAACTACACAAAGGGAAACGCTGAGGTATTATAAGATATAAATGGCTATATATTAGATAGATAGATAGATAGATAGATAGATAGATAGATAGATAGATAGATATGGATATGAAAAGAGATAGATAGATAGACAGATAGATAGATAGATAGATAGATAGATGACTGCTAAGAGATATATGATAATATATATATATATGTGTGTGTCTGTGTGTAATAAAATATAGTTTTGTAGTATGTTATGGTTAAAGTCGTCAATATCCGGGATAGACCGTATGTAGATATGAAATATAAAAGTGGACATTGATGTTAACACCGAGCGGTGACAACTGTTTCCTGCTGAAAAGCAATCTTCAGACCTGTTTGTTTCGGGCTTAAACGAAATCTTCGTTGAAGCAGGAGACAGACTGTCGTCGTCATGTGTTGAACCCAATGTCTACTTATATATTCACCTCCAAATTTTACGGCTTTTCTGTTTTAATTTGTTCTTTCTTTTTTTATTTCACTCTTTCCTTTCTCCTGAATATATATATATATATATATATATATATATATATATATATATATATATATATATTATTTAGGCAGCAATCTTTCATTTATGCATGTTTCATTAAAAACAACAGACAAGGTACTACGGTTAAGTTTTTTATTTAATTTTTCTTGTGTTCGCAAAAGAGTTTTCTTTTTTGGACACAGAGTGTGTAGAAACTGTCCAAATGTTCTATAGTTCCGAGCGCTTTCGGCTATACTTTTAGCCAATATCAAGGATGATTTTATTTTTCAGATTAAACGAGTGTGTGTGTTATGTGTATGCTTTTAGTGTGTTATAGAGGTGTTTTATTTCCCGAACACGGTTAACACATTGTGGCCTAGTTCGGAGTTAATATTGTTAAGAGTTGGCTTTTTCTTTTTTATTATTAGGGATTCCATTATTTTTAATCTTTTTATTTACAAGTGGATAAGGGTATTATGTTTGTGTTTTCTACTAGTATTTTTCGAATGGAGTCTGGTAGGTTTGTTTGTGTGTTTAAATGGGTTCTAATAGAGCTGTGATCAGATTGGTGTAAGGTAAGGCGTCTGGATAGACATGTAGTTGTGTGACCGATGTAATTACTTATGAATTCTGTTTTGATCAGGAACACAGTTCCTTAAAGGGCATTGGAACTTATAGATAATGTTCGTTCGTCGTAATTTTGAGTTAGCTGGTGTTTTGTTGTTTTTGAGGATAAGGTTAGCGGTCTTAAAGTTTTATAGTAGATAATTAATTTGATTTTTTTATTCGGGTCGATTGGGGTAGTGTATGTGTTTATAATATTTCTAAATGATATGTTGTATTATATATTCACTTTTATTTACTTTTTATCCCCTCGTGTGTGATGGGTGGGAGGAGTGACGTCGACAAATGTAATTTTATAACAAACAACAAGATACCAAGTCACTTCCAAAGAATTTGCTCTTTCTAATGAGCCATGCCTATTTTCAATTAATTAAAATTAATTAATTAACATTTTGTAATTCACTGTATTCGTTCATATGATTTAAAGTTTCTTGATGGGCCACCTTTGATATTTTATTAATAATATTCACATATATAGCAAGCAGTTTGTAGGCATGTGTATATCTGCTTATAATTTTTGTAGCTTGTACAGATACTAGGGATTAGTCCTCTACTTCATACAAACTAAAGGTTGAAGATGACGAAAAATCGCCAGTTTTCTATGGTGAACCCTTTTGCTCAGTCTCGGTAACCACGCTTACGCATTGTGTCAAAGTACTCTGAACCCACCCGTGTTTGGAACACTAAGAGAATTACTAACGCAGTGTTGGAATCACCAGGAGTAAGGTTTCCTGTTTTCCAAGCATTAAATTACTCAAAGAAGAAATAGGGCAAAGGAGAAATCAGTAACAAGTGATATTCTTATTATCAACAGAGCGAACAGATACATTACTCTGATTCTAGTTTGATGGATTGATTTGTTTATTTAAGGACATATCAGCTCCTTTATTGATCGTTTAAATGTTTTTGGGGGCTTTGAAGTAATAAAAATATGATGTATGTTATTCTGCTTTCACAATTGAATACATGGTAGATAATACAGAGCTTTTGTGCATATGCATGTTTGTGTGGACATGATTACTAGAGGCGGTGATATGTGCGTTTTCATGTTGTAGTTTTGTGGAAGTTAGATTTTGGAATGGCGTTAAATTTTGAAATTGTATTAATTATATAGATTAATGTAATGAAAGAGTTCTTTCATGTTGTTTGTTTGGTTCATTTTGTTTAACGGCATATCAACACTTCTATGGCTTATTTAATGTCGAAATTTAAGGATTTTGAACAAAATTTTATGGTTTCAAGTACAGATAAATTATATTGGTGATCATTTTACTATAAAATGCATTGTTGGTAATTTTGCAATCAATCGGTGTTGTTGGTAATTTTATATCAATAAGTGTTGTTGGTAATTTTACCACCAATAGATTTTGTTAGTAAGTTTATTATCAATAAGTGTTCTTGGTAATTTTGCTATCAATAGGTACTGTTGGTAATTTTATTATCAATAACTGTTCTTGGTATTTTTACCATCAATAGATGCTGTTGTTAATTTTATTATCAGTGGGAGTTGTTACCTACTACTGGGGTAAACTTCCATTGGGTACCTCGAGGTGGTGTAATGGTTAGCAAGTTTGTCTCGCTAGAGTTCGATCCTCACTGGGTGCCACTTACTTTCGGCCTTGCGCCACATCCAAGCTACGCTTGGAAAATCACTATAACAATGATTTTCCAAGACGCAAGACTTACTATTGAAGAAGAGATGGATTCTTGCATTTCCCAAAGGTATTTGCGAATTAAGTGAATAACGTTCTCGATTGGAATTCGAACTCGTCTCTCCGATTTCTTATCCCGAGCTACTATCCATTACATCACCTACAAACATTACAGTTGTAAGGAATCAGTTATATTGACGAATGCGTGGTCCTAACAAAGTGGTAAGTAATCCTACGCGATTTGAAATTGGAATTAAAATTCAGGATGAGGAATTAGTATTTCTTTGTTTAGCGGCATATCAACATCCTTATGGGTCATTTAATGTCAAAATTTAATTTTCTTGGAAGCAATTTATTTTCCAAAAATGTATTGCTGGCAATTTTTTACTATGAAAATGTATTGCTGGTATTTTTACTATAAACATGTATATTGATACTTTCATAGTGTTTTGACCCCAGTTTGTGATTTAACTATTTGCCCACAGCTGGGGATCTAACAGGTGTTACCACTCCAGGTAAGGGTGAACTTGGGAACAGCAAAAACTAAGTGGTGTTTCCAGAAGAAATTGAAATGAAAGCAGTAATGAAACTTACCCTGAATCAATCATAAGTGTTCACGATGCGGAATTAGTCAACACTAAACAGAGCGCTAACAGCTGCTGAACTTGAGAAACCTATTTTCCTGAAAAAATAGTTTTATGAGAAATCATACATATTATAAAACCCAGGTTGTGTGTGTGTGTGTGTGTCTGTTTCGTTTATATATTGGATTGGATTTCCTACATTTTTCAACCGATTTCAACAAAACTTCACAGGACTACATAAAATTACCTTGTGGTGGTTCTAACAGCGCCAAAAATTGAAAAAACACAATTGTTTTTGCACGAAATCAATTTGAAAACACGATTAAGAGGCATTGCTGTTGAGAATGAAAGGGGGACAACTTATATCGAGTTATACTTATTATAAAACCCAGGTTGTGTGTGTGTGTGTGTTCGTTTATATATGGGATCGGATTTCCTACATTTTTCAACCGATTTCAACAAAACTTCACTTTTTTTTAGCAGGTAGTGTTTCTTATTGTCTTGCACACTTTTTTCTTTATTTTTACATTCAGAATGCTTTAAAAAATTCCATTTACAAGACAATTGTTTATAATAAAATTCTATTCAATCGATAGACTCATAACGATTGAAAACAATGCTTTTGTTTGAGTTTGGGTTTGACCAATTCGTAAAAAGAAAAAACAAAAAAACAAAAAAACAAAACAAAACAAAAAACAAAAAAAAAGCTAATTAAGACATGCGTGTCTGTCAACCTTAAACAATAATCTTTATCAATTTTATTTTTCAGTCTTTAGTGATGGTCGATACTTGATCCATCTCTTACTGTTACATCCCCGGGAAACGCCGGACTCTACTGCTAGTATTTTATAAATTTCAACCGAACAGTAGTTCTGCCTGCTCGGACGAATGTTTCCTTATAAGGAAATATTAGTATTACCCTTTACACAGAAACTATCTGGTTGGATGGTACATACTCCGAGTTTCTAAATAAATCAAATTTATTTGGAAACCGCTTTAATTTTTCTTCCGGACAGATACAACAGATAGAGGGAGAAAATTACACTTTTGGATAGAGCAAGTTTTTGCATACAAAATCATTATTTTTTCCTAATAGACACCATAATTATCAATTCAGATACTTACCATTTCTTGTGCTAATAGTGTCACTAGTTGTTTTTTGGGTTTTTTTTTTTCCTTCTTGGTCAAGCCGAGAATTTTTCATTACTTCCTTGTCCATTAAACAGCTTGAAAACGGAAATTACAAAAATATAACTTCCGGAAAAAATAAAGTAAGCTCTTAGAAATGATGATATCAGTGAAGATAGACACATTTATATACTTGTTAGTGGGTATGCGCAATAAATTTCTCGTTTATTTCCGGGTAGCTTATGTTTAATTTCGTTTATATTTCCTTTTTTTCTTTTACCCCATTCCGAAAGCTACCCCTCAATGTTGCCATTGATGTAGTAGCAATCTTATTAAAAAATGAAAATAAAATGACTTTCAAAGAGAGTAAAAAATGGCTGGTTTGTTTAAAGATGTACTGTATTTCGTATTATCCTTGATTATGTTTTTCGCTGTTTCAATTTTCCATGAGCAAACACGGAAATAAAATAAATGACATAACATTGTCAATACTGGCAATTCCGATATGTAACAATTTCGGAAACATTTTCTTTTTTTGGCAATATTTTTGGTACAATTCAGTCCTTCTATTTGGTAGTGAATGCTCGATAATCTCCTCACAGATGAAAAAGACACTTGAATCAACAGAAAATTTGTTCTACAGAAGGCTACTGAGAATAGATTCTACATTGATTTTTCTTCGAC